TTGTTCTCTTCTATGGATTAAAAACTAGGATCAGGTCTTTACTAACAGGAAAGGAGGAATCCATCTGTGAGAGAACACTCTGTTGATTTGTGACTTTAATCATCTCTTCTCTTTTTAATTTATAGCTTTTACACATCTAACAACTGTTTCAACAGATCTTCAAGTCACACGAAAGATAATTGCCTTACAAAGTTGTATCTTTATGAGGATCCTCACCAGAATGGCTTCACAGCTCAGAGAAACCTTTCAAGCTGAGTCACCAGTTAATGAGATTGAACTAGACAATCTAGAGATTATTCAAAACCAGGTTTCTCCTGTGCAGTGGGAAGAAGACATGTCTAACTCCCCAAATACTCATCCTAAATTTCCCCCAAATAACAGTGGCTCCTGTGCAAAGCAGGAGCTTCAAACTCTGTGGGAGATGTTCACTGCCTGGTTGCATCCAGAAAAGCAGAGCAAGGAGCAGATGATTTCTCAATTGGTCGTGGAGCAATTTCTCAAATTAGTGTGCTGCAAGGACACGTTTGCCTTGAAAGAGAAGTGGGAATTAAGTGGCAGAAACATGGGGAGATTCATGGAGGATATGAATGATGAGTGCTTGAAGCCTCCTGTCATGGTGAGTACCTGAGGCGAGAGATGAATGAGTTGGGAGGTGACTGTCATTGCATTTGGGAATAAATAAAGAGAAGTTGTAGTTAGTGAGATTATTTAAATTTTATTTTTGTCGTTGTCCTCATTTATCTTTATTAGTAAAATTTTTCACTCATTACAAAGTGGTTGCAAAGAGAATATCCAGTGCTCTAAACTATCATGAATAAAGCAGAAACAAGGGTATCAATTGTTTGTGGGTCATAATTAAATTTAATTTAAATTGAGATAGAGATTGAAGGGCTTACATTTGCCCAGAGCCATTATGGCTTTAGAGGAGATGCTGTGGGTATGTGCCCTGACTCAGACACAGAGGTGCCCAAATTGTATGAATCTTGACAACTGAGTTGAAAATCTGGCTAAAAAAATGACACCTAGAACTTGGCCATGATTCCTGGATGTGGGAGGAAGAAACTGGGAAATGAAGTGGATACTTGGCTTTTCAAGTTATTTATTCCATGTCAGAATATATCTGTCTAAATTACTGAGGTGTCACAAGGGCAGAGTAGGAATTCATTTTTTCTCTCCCTCCCTGTTACCTCCCTCCCTACTTCTCTTCCTTTCTTTCTTCCTTCCCTCCTTCAAGTTTTTTGGATTTTTATAAACAGGATTTCCCAAATGCTATGGAGCTTATTCTGGAACTATTTCTGTAGACCAGGCTGACCTTGAACTCAATTTGAGGCATGATTTCATATTGTAGTCCTCTTTGGCCCACTATTCTGAACTGCTGCATTAAAGGTTATCAATGGCTAAACCCTGTTATTTGTTTGAATTTATTACTCTCTAAACAGGTTCACGTTTCACAGTTTGTTTTATTCTTCAGTGTGTCACACCTGCACTTTCTTTTTTATTGATAATTTTATTACTGTAACTGAATTCCAAATAAACTGATGCCCGAAAGATGAGTCATGTTCTTAACAGCAAAGACAATTTGCAAGGTGTGGAGCTAATGTACACATTAGTCAAGTTCATACTTGCATTAGTTCTGTTAAATACTCAATAATAAATCAACAGCAAACAACAATTTAAAGCTTTATTTTAAGGGCATCTTTGGTAAAGGGTGGCTGTCTAGGGCTAGTAGTCAATGGGACAGACAACAAATTATACCTACTGCAAATGATGCCCATGAACACAGCAAAGTGAAATGACAGGTAGATAGGGAGAGAACACTGACAGAATAATGGGTGGAGATAGGGGATCAGAAAGCCTCAGAGATCTGAGAATGACAATGGTTAAGAACATGAGGCTCAAAGACATAAATAGCAATTGCCAATCTGAGGCTAGGATGCCAAAATGGCAGGTACTCCAGAATTACAGTTGAGTTTCTGAGGATTCCAGATAGAAATAACATTTACCTCTTGTTAATCCCACTGAACAAGAATAAAGATCATTACCCATAGGTTTGATTTTTTGTTTTTGTCAATTCAGCAAGATTTATACTGTTACATGGAACTATCACCCAGAAACTAGCTTTGAGAAAAATAGCAGTAATACAGGAGAGACTGAGGGTGGGGGTCTATAGCTTAACAAACATTAAGACTAGTGGTAACCCAGTGGTTGGGGCACTTTGCAGAACATTTCAAAATGATTTTCCAGAACATTTTATCAGGGTGAAGGTCAGGATATAGCAACAGTATAGGTTGCAGAATATGCAAAATTTCAGAAAAGTGGTCAAGAAATAGTTACATTAAAATTTTACTGACAACAGCTATGAAGTTCTTTTTGACATTATGATTCCATGGCATCTAATCTTAAGATAGAATCAGGCCAGTCTATCATTGATCACAGCTGGAGTTTAAAGCAGCTGCTCTCTCTGGAGTAGCTTTGCCATGAACCAGAAAATGCGTATGGATATCCCAAGGTTCCTGGGGGCAAATGAATGATTGAAAAAAGGAAGTTACAAATTGATGACAAACTGAAAATTCGAGGCATAGAGACATTGTTTAAAAGAGACTAACTTTATCAGAACAGGCAGATAAATATAGTCAAAGGAATAAGAGGATCTCCAGTTATGAGAGACCACCTAGGGAATTTTACACTTTCCTTGGGACCCTCCCACTCTTTCTAAATGGTCATAAGCTGCATTATATTCTTTTACCCAAGACATTTATTTGGTATTATTTGAAATATCTTTGTTGTGAGTTATAGGGTGGGGGAAATCCCTGGACAAATTAGCAGCTGTTCTTAAAGGGGCAAGTCCCTATTTGCAGATTGGCCTAATTTCATCTGATCCTCCTTCAATTCACTGATCAGTTGAGGAAAATATTCTGACCAGAATTATGGAAACCTAATGCTGTTACTTCCCTAGGGACAGTGCCTTAACACTTTCAAGCACAGTGTAAATAGTGACTTCAGGGAACAGAACCTGTAGACGCCAGGATAACATCAATAAGGGACACACATATGAGCTAAAACATAGTTCTGGGATTCCATGCACTCAACTGAGGGCAGGCTTTCTCTCATTCACAGATTCATTGCTAATGGTCATCTGGCTTTGTTTCCAGGTTCATGTCTCCATGCAGGGACAGGAAGCCCTCTTTCCTGAGAACATGTCCTTAAAAGAAGTCATCAAGCTTTTGAAAGAACAGCAATCACTAAGAACTGCAAAACAGCAGAATATAAAGACACCCTTGCAGTTCCCACAAGACAATTTATTGGCAACAGGTGAGCAGGGAATCTGGACAGATAATGGATTTTGTAAGATGATATCCTTTCCTGGACACAGTTTCATATACTCTTATTTCCACAGGTCATGAAAACAGTGAAGATGGCCAAAACACATTCTTGAAAGGTCATGAAACAAATAGTGTTTTTAGTAGTCCTGAAAATGGGATGGACTCCCAACTCATTATTCAGACTGGGAAGTATCCTCAGCCTGAAGAGGCAGGTGTTTCTTATGAAGCTCCTCTGGATCTCAGCAGAGCAAGTCAAGGTACCTCCATGTACCAGGCAGAGCCCCTGAGGGCACCTTCTTATGAACATATCACTATGGTTGTGCAACCAGTGTATCTCTCCTGCACATACAAGTCTGAAGACACTGAAGATGGCCACGACATTATCTTGACCACAGCTGATGTAAATAGTGGTATTAGCAATCTCACAAATCAGAGAGATTCCCTTCTCATAATCCAGAGAGAACAGTATCCTGAGCCTGAACAGAGAGGTGTTTCTTCCGGAGTACTCGGGGATTCTGCAAGAGCGATTTGGGACACATCCAGGTCCCAGGCAATGTCCCTAACAACCCATTCTTCTGGACATATATCTAGTGAGATACCAGGGTACCTCTCTAGGTCAGAGCAGCCCACCTCTGAACCTGTTCCTCTTTTGAAGTGGCATAAGGGAAATTTTGTATGTGAAGGTCATCAAGAAAGACTCCAGAGTGATTTCAAACCATACAAATGTGAGGAATGTCCCAGCACCTTCAGATATCCCTGTAACCTCTCAGTCCACCAGAAAAGTCACAGGGTGGAGAAGAAGTCATTTTTCTCTACCCATGGTCAGACAGGTTTCGGTCAAAGCACAGACCTCCGTTTTCCTGAGGCCATACCCAAACCAGAGAAGCCTGTCACATGCAGCACATGTGGAAAGTCTTTCAAACATAAGACCCATCTACCGAATCATGAGAGGATTCATACAGGAGAGAAGCCCTATACCTGCTCCCTGTGTAACAGTCGGTTCCGTCAGTCATCTACCTACAACCATCACCTGAGGAATTACCACAAATGAGACTGAACTGTTTACCTTCCTCAGCAGAGGTTTGCTAGGCTACAGCCTCAGTGTCTCATCTGTACATGAAGAGGCGTGTAGTTTTTAACAAACATTTAGCCAGACAAGATCTGTCACGTACCTTATGGACTGTTCGTTCTTTCTGTTCTTCCATTCCATGGGCATGCGAGTGTAAAGGGGAGGAGTCATATGATAGTTTGTTTTCTAATGTTTGCCAAATGCCTAAAAATAACTGTTGTTTTATTTCTAAGTAGTAAATAAATGTTTCTGCTTCTGTGTTTCTTCTGTGTGTTGTATATGGAGTGTGTTTTCCTGGGTCCCTCTGTGATTACACATTTTGTGACAATGCTTGTATTACTAATTTGTACTCCATGTTAGGAAATGATGTAGATCTCTTAGTGATGGAGAACACCTCCGTTCACACACCTGCAAGGCTAGTGGTTCCTCCCAGATCCTGTTTAGGGACAAGCCATATCCAAACACTGGTTTTCACAGTGAGAACGTTTATTGAATGGAAAGAAAAGATAAAGTGATTGCTATCCTTCAGTGGCAGAAAATGCAGCAAATGAACTTGCATTGTAATTTTTATGAGAAGAAGGGAATGTCTTTGATATAATGGACTAGCATGTGATGGCAAAGGTTATAGTGGACTATGGAGAAAGAGGGCAGATGTTTCTGCCCCAAAGATTGACACAGGACTGCCTATGGATAGAGAGAAGACAGCTGTGACCCAAAAGAAAATAACAGTTTATTTAGGTTCCAGGGTAACCATAATTAGAATGAGGTATTTAATTTTGATTGGGCATGATAAGTGGGTAAGCCAAAGCTGCTTTTCATTCATGGACAACGATTCATTGATAGTAGGGCCTTGGTAGTTGTGTTCTGGAGAAATAAGTGGCCAAATTAGGGAATAAATCTTGGTGTCTAGCTTTAGGAAAGTAGTGATATGGTTTTTAGCAAGACAGAGGGAATGGGGGTAAGGGTGAGGCTTGCCAGAGTCATTTGTTCCAGTTGCCTAGTGATCCTTCACAACTCTTACCAAGCTGATACGATGAATTTCACTGCTACTGGACTTGCCTTTCAAAAAAAGTATTTTATATGTGTGAGCTTCAGGCGATATGTGTGTCACGAGTGAAGAAGCCCTTATGTGTCAGCAGGACCACGAGGTAACCATAATTTTATTTATGTTAATTTGTTTGGATTACAGCTTGTTTGCTAGGGGATATAATCTCACTTTGCAGCAGTGATTTTACCTTCCTCATTGTATTTCCTTAAGTCTTGGTGATGTTCATCCTCTGGTTTCTGCTGGCACTCACAAGCATTATCCCCAGGCACACATATATGAAAACAAATAGATTACTAAAGTAAAATAATAAGTAAAATGAATAAAAAAGAGTCTTAAAGTACATATTTGTTACATATTTCTAGAATTTAATAACTCATTCTAAGATAATTGTAAAATATTTTTTGTTGTTTTTCTGAGTGAATTTCAAATTTGGCCGGTTAAAATCAGAAATTATTTCATTATTTGAAAATTGTTTGAAAAATTATTTCAAATCATAGGGTTTAGCCAGAGCCAATGAAAACAATCTTTTTTTTTAATTTCTCTTTTTCTATCTTTATCATCATTGTCGTAACCATTGTTACTATGTTTTGTGTTTTTTTTCATACAGGCTTTCTCTTTGCGTAGCCATAGATATCCAGGCAGTGTCTCTATACACCATGTTAGCCTTAATTTCATAGATCTGTCTGCCTCTGCTTCTTCAGTCCTAGCATCAAAGGCATGTTTCACTACATCCTGTGTGAACTTTATTAAGTGTATCCAATAATTTTCATTGTAATAATAGAGAATGCTTCAGTTATTAAAAGTGACTTTTATTGATTATTTGGGAATCTCACATCATGTACAGCAATTGTGCACAATTCCAATTCTTCCCTTATCTGCCCCCCCAGTAACCCTCCACCACACTCCTAAAAATAAACAACAACAAAAACCAAGTTCATTTTGTATTTTCCATACACACTGGAACATGGTGAAATTCCTAGAGGCCAAACCCTGAATAGAGCATGAGTCTTTCTCTCCCTTCATGCTTGCCAGAGCTATAAACTGGGGAGAGTCCTGGGGTTGTTAGAGCAGCGAATGCCAAATCTCCCCTACCTACACTAACACTTGATGCAAGATGCTGTGGCCAGTGAGGTGTGGGTCTAAGTCTTCCACAAGAGATGGGGCTGAGAATATCTACTTCTATAAAGACCAAACTTTCAGGCATCAGTGAGACAGCTAAATAAATATAGGAAAATTATGAGTATTTTATTTAAACTACCCATGAAATAATTTCCAGGGTCTGTTGACACTATCAATTTATTTACTTATTAAGGATGGATGAACATTCCTCTTACAAACTTGGCAATGGGAATTTTCCTCTTCTTCCAGACTTCAGTGGTTAGGCTTTGCAATTCCTCCAAGCTATTTTATTATGCCATTTTGTTATTCATTAGAAGCATTGAATCAAAAAATACCTGTCTTTAGTCAACTGCTTGTCTATCATCTCAAGAGGAATTCCACAGACAATGTCAGATTTTGTATTTAAGTACATCCTGGATGACATTAGATGTAAAATTGTAATGTATATTTACCAAATAAACATCTCTGGCAAGAGTGCCATGTTCCATTTGCAAGAAAAATATGACTTGAAAGCGAGTTGTGAGTACTGCTTTTGGTGAGTTTCTGCTATTGTTGCAACTGTATTGTATATGTTCTTATTACACTTCACCGATGTACTAAGTCTGGGTCTCATAGCCTGCTCCAGTATCTCCCTGGTGATTGTCCTCTATAGGCATAAGAGACACTTCTAATATATTCAGTGTTCAGCGTTTCCTGAATGTCTCACCTGAGGTCAGAGCCACACAAACAATTGTCATCCAGTTGTCCATTTTTGTCATCTCTTAGTCTCTTCCATTCTGGTCATCTTTAAAACATTTACCAAATTCCAGTACTAGTGTGCGTAGGTATAATTTTATTCCTAGAAATATACTTTACCAAAGTTTGCTCTCTTTCTTCTCATAAGTTTTATCAAGTCTAGTTCCATCCTGTTTTTCTTCTGCTGTAGTAATAGATAGTACCCTCCAAGTTAGAGTTGAGCTCAGACATGTATACTGACAAATCCTTTTATCTTTTGTAAAATGCTAAGACAGCATTTTGGAAATTTCATTCTTTCTTTTTTTTTTCACAAGACAGGGTTTCTCTGTACTGTTTTGGAAGCTGTCTGTTGATCCAGCCCACCCTCGAACTCGCAGATATCCACCTGCCTCTGCCTCCCGAGTGTTGGGATTAAAGACGTGCGCCACCAACGCCCGAACGAAAATTTCATTCTTTCTATAACTTACTCATTCAGTATGTAGAGTGATCACTAGTAATTTATCATATCATGTTTGTTACAGAATTTACTATCTAATAATGAGCAAATGTGTAAAATTATACAAATTATTATGCAACATTAGGCAAAATATAGGTGAACATTAGAAAATACTTTTTGGAAAGAGAAAGTGAAGGAAGGGAATTGAAACTGGGGGCTAGACAATTTTAGTGTAGGCACACAGTGTGAGAAGTTCTGAGTGGAGCCAGGGCTTTTAAGAGGTACTAGCAGTGTTATGAGGTTCTGGCACCTAGCATCCATTTTGATGTTATTAGACACCTCAGTGAGCCATTTGTCTTGAGTGTCTTTGGGACCATACACTTTTGAGATCCTGAAAAATCTAGCATGTTTTGTGATAGGGAAACTCTCTCTAGAGACAAGGTCATGACACTTTTTTACTCTAATGGTAATGAAGCTCTGTTCCCTCTGCAGGACTCTCTGCTACACCCTTTGTACTCTTAGGACCAATGAAAAAGTTCTAATCCTGATTCCTAATTTCTTCCTTTGAGGTACCCAAGCAGTATCCACTTCCTTTTTTTTTTTTGTCTTCTGATAGGAATTCAGGACCAAGTTGTTTGAAAGTTACTTCAGACCCTTGTGCAGATAGAGTCATGTGTCTACAGTTGAGCTAAAAATTACCAGTCTACTAGGAAAGAACATCAAGAGATCACGGATATTTAGGTGAGTGATAGTATCTCATCACGGTTATGGCAGTCTCTCCTCTCATGGTGACATAAACCTTCATGCTGCAGTCCAGTACTGAGTTGAGTGACCAGAATCTAGGAGAATAAAAAGCACTACTTGGAAAACATATGTTCATTCTCGTGTATTTACCTTTCTTTCTAACAAAGTACCCCTCTTTATCTAAGTTTGTTTAACATCTGCATTAAGAAATTCAAAAGCAATGATGAAAGTAAGAAAGGTAGAAGGTGAGGAAGAAGTAGGAAAGAAAGAAAGAAATCGAAAAAATAGACAGACTGACAAAATTTGAGTCAACAAACTGACAGGGGAGGGAAAAGACTGTGGTATTGGTTATGGAAGTGGGAACATGAATGTGCGTTTCGATGCAATTGGAGTTTCTTCCAATTCAAAGAAACGTAGTAGACAGTCTCCAGTTGTCCCTAAGATGTATGAACTCTGTTTCTCCCATAGCTGCTACCAACTTTCTCTTATCACTGATATCTCCTCCTTTCCATGCTTCTGTCTTTGCTTAGTCAGCCTCTCTTTCTCTCTCTCTGTCTCTCCTCCCTGACTTCATCTCCATCTCTACCTCTTTTTTTATGTCTCTTCCTAGGTTATCTCTACCTATTTTTTCATATCTCTTCCTAGGTTGTAGGCTTTGTGTTTTATTTTGGTTTTTGGTTTCTTGCAATAAAATTACTCTGTTTAGCCTTGCATGTGCTGGAGCTAGCTCTATAGATCACGGTGACGAAAATGTACAGAGATCCACCCGCCTCAGCCTCTGAAATACTGAAATTAAAGAAATGCGCCACCATCATACCTTTCTCAATGTTTCTTTTTAGTTGTTAGTTTTTAAAAGTAAGAGTTTTTTTGATTCCTCATTTTTCTTTACTGAAACTTTGG